GGGGACAGGGGAGAGGCTTTACTGTTTCCACGATGACTTGTATGAGCTTATCTTATTCAACAAATCAACTTTCCAAAAATGATACATACCTAAGGCCACATTGTGACCTAGGCTGTCATTTAGTCCTGGAGTCCTAATGGACAGCAGACAGAGAGAATAAAGCTAGTGACCGACAATCACCTCCCCCTATCCCCACAAACAAAGCAGTTAATTATGTAACAAGAACAAAGTGGACACAATTATCTGTATTTAGGCAGTCTTGAACTTTTCCACTGGTCTCTACTACAATTAAAATCTTGGCAAAATGGTCAACTAGACTTTTCCAGGACTTTGCTATGTATCCAAAGCACCATAATTCTTATTGGAAGGAAGGAAGGAAGGAAGGAAGGAAGGAAGGAAGGAAGGAAGGAAGGAAGGAAGGAAACAGTTGCCAAGACTGGTGGCACATGGGAGTTTGAGGCCAACTCAGGTTACACAGAGTGGTAGAGTGACCCTGTCTTAAATAAAGTAGCTGTTACATTTGGAGACCTAAAATTGTGTACACACATTATGACTTACACCTAGAAAATCAGGCAATTGCAAAAAGTAAACAATCAAAAGAGACCTTAAAACAGGCTGCAGTTTACTGACCATGGGTTTCCCAACTTTCCCCCTATACTACCCTCAATTATTCTATCATATCAGCAGTTAATACAGGTGCATAAATTGAATACATAGAAGAAAGCAAAATCCTAAGCCTGTGAAACGGTGTTAACCGGGTAGACAATTAAAAGCTTCAAGATCTCATGGCTTTCTAATGAAAACGAACGGAATTTAGGTGTGTTATTACAGTCTCAAAACCAGCGCAAGTGAGATGGTGCGAAAGCCAATTGCTATTGCCCAAGATACTCGAGCCACTAAAAATCTCTTTCACTTTAGCCTTTGCATTGGGAAGGCCTAAACCCCAAGGAAAACTACTTCTCCAAGGCCACTACTTCTCCAGGCCTCAACCTTAAGCACATGGTGGACGCTGATCCACCCGGTGACACACCTACCTGCCAGGCCTGGGGCGCTCCAATCACCCCTACTCCTCCCAGCTGACCTGCCCCACCCCAAGCCATTGCTGAGACCACCTCCACTTCTTCCTATCCTTCTCCATCTAACCAAAAGCAAGGACGGGGGAGAAGATGGAGGCGCGAGGAAAAGCACCCCCGCAAACCGCCGCAGCCTCTCTTCCCCATTCCACCTCTCCTGAGCCTCTCGAGCAAAATCTGCAACACTTAAAATTTCTTTCAGACGCTTTTAGGCACAGGTAACTTCCCCGCTCCCTTCCGCCCCTCACCTTCACGAAAGCAATCGGGGTTGTGGTACCTTCTATATCTAACAGGATTACGGTGACTTCGGCGGGCACGGAAACCACGACCATTTCCCTGCCGGATGCTAGCGCGGGCTCGGCCTTGCTGGTAAGGAGGGCAGCACCGCCTGCGCGTCTTGGGCTCCCGAGGACCCAGCAACAATCGGGGCGCTGGCGACAGCGAGCAACCAGGGGCGCGGAGACAGGCCGACTGCGCGGACCCGCAACTGCAGAGGAAGCCGCCCAGGGCACTGCACCCGAAAAGCAAGCGAGCGGCGCAGGCCCAGACCACGTGGGCAGTCGTAGGGGCGGGGCTCCAGGATCCGAGGGGGCGGAGGAAGCAAGGCGCGCGTGCCTATTGGCCGCCGGGGAGCCGCGAACGCCATCCGTCAAAATAGGCCTCGCGTGGGCGGGAACAAAGACGCGAACACCCAAGCCCGGAGCCCGGAGCGCGGGTGCCAGCCCTCCGCAGCCTGGTGGAGCCCGCGCGGGAGGCCCGGGGCGCGTGCAGACCGGAGTCCCTTGAGTGGCGCGCCCGGGACGTGAGTGCCCCTTGCCTTGCCCGGCACCTGACCCCTTCCCCGCCCACCGCGTGCGCCTTGGCACATCGTCAGTCTTCCGAGCAGGCCCCGCCCTCCGCCGCGGCCTCAGCTAGCCTGGGAGAACGCACGGACCCGGGCTGCGGAGATCCGGCAGCCGAGGCCCCCGAGCAGACACCACCACCCCGAGGCGACGGCGGAAAAGCCGCCCCCGCCAGGACGGAGGCGGTCATCGCGCACTTGCTTTCTGCTCGGCTGGTTCCAGCCGGCGCGAGGACAAACCACGCGTGCGCCGGGAGGGCGGGCGGGTGCGCGCGCTGCAGCTTCAGCAAGCGGTGCGGGGTGCACGCCGCCGCAGCAGCTCCGCACTGGGGGACTGAGGGCGCAGCAAGGGACTGAGCCGAACTGGACGCGCGACGCAAACGGCTCTCAAGGCAAGAGGGGCTGCGGCCCTGCAACGGCGCCGCGCGGGATTCCCTGCCCATCGGTCCTGCACGACTGATTCTCCGGTTCTTTCAGCCCGGCCCCCCGGCGCGACCTCGCTCCTCACCCGGAGCACCGCGATGGAAGTCCCGCCCCGGCTCTCCCATGTGCCGCCGCCATTGTTCCCCTCCGCTCCCGCTACTTTAGCCTCCCGCAGCCTCTCCCATTGGCGGCCGCGGGCTCCCCGGCAGCTCGCCCCGCTCCTCCCTTCGCTCGCTTCCAGCTCCTCCCGGCAGGGGGCGCGTCGGACCCAGCGCCACGTCACCGCCCAGCAGCCCTCCCGATTGGCGGGCGGGGCGGCTATAAAGGGAGGGCGCAGGCGGCGGCCGGATCTCTTCCGCCGCCATTTTAAATCTAGCTCCATACAACGCTCCGCCGCCGCTGCCGCCGGGACCCGGACTGCGCGCCATCACCCCCTTGCCGACGGCTCCGCCACCATGGAGGACATGAATGAGTACAGCAACATAGAGGAGTTCGCAGAGGGATCCAAGATCAACGCGAGCAAGAACCAGCAGGATGACGGGTACCGCACGCTCCGCTCTTCCCCTCCCCCAGAGCCCCGCGCGCGCCCTTCGTCCCTCTGGAGCCGCGCGCGCTGTCCCCAGTCTTTCCCCGAGTCGATTCTCCGCGTGCCCGCTGGACCCCAGTAGCTTCCCCACTAGTGGAAAGTAAGATGGGGTGACTCGAGAGGCCCGCCGTGGGTGGGGGAAGGGAGGAGGGGTTGGCGAAGGAGGGCGGCGCCGTCGGTGTCCCGAGTGCGCAGGCGCCGCGTGGGGCCGGCGGGGGGAGGGGCCGAGCTCTGTGCGCCACTAGCTGCAGCTGCTGCCGCCTCTTCGTTGTGTGTTACTGCTCGGGCGACTTTTCCTGGGGAGGTTTGGGAAACTTGGTTTGGGCATCAGTATACAGACGACTGGCACTAAAAGTTTTTTAGTTAGCAAGTTGGCTTTAGGGCTATGGACAAAAGTCTACGTAAGTTGTGGGGATTCGGTGTAAAAGTTGTGCTTTGCAACCCAAAGTAATCGGAGCAGGACATCTACCAGATTCTAAATGGCTTCTTTTAAGTTTTGTGTTTGCATAGTAGAGAGCAACGAGTCAGTTGGTTTGAGCAAGTGAACTTAAGATTTTTGTGGTCTAAATGTTAGTGTTTGTAGTGAAAACATTGCACTTGGCGAGTAAGTTATCCTGTATTTGTTTAATCACTAAGTTACTGTTAAGTCTATTTTTCTTAAATAACTTTGTTTCTAGTAAAATGTTTATTGGAGGCTTGAGCTGGGATACAAGCAAGAAAGATCTGACTGAATATTTGTCTCGATTTGGGGAAGTTGTAGACTGCACTATTAAAACAGATCCAGTCACTGGAAGATCAAGAGGATTTGGGTTTGTGCTTTTCAAGGATGCTGCTAGTGTGGACAAGGTAGGGCTATGTTTTGCATTGTGTTTATTGTGCTGTTTGCAAATTGCTCTAGGTTTTTAAGTGCCTGTCAAACTAACTTGTCTTCTAGGTTTTGGAACTGAAAGAACACAAACTGGATGGGAAATTGATAGACCCCAAAAGGGCCAAAGCTTTAAAGGGGAAAGAACCCCCTAAAAAGGTTTTTGTGGGTGGATTGAGTCCAGATACTTCAGAAGAACAAATTAAAGAATACTTTGGAGCCTTTGGAGAGGTGGGCTGTGTTCATATACATGTCTGATTGTCGTGTTTGGTCAAGTCTGTAGCATTCATTAATACTTCACAGATGGGACTGAACTACTGCTCTGTATCTTCCACTTACTGTGTCCTATCTGCTGCTTTCTATACAGTAGTGGAAACCAGTGTCTAATCTTATTTAGCCAAAGCCCCAAGGGGGTAAAGTGTTTTACCAGTCGGTAGCCTCTGGGGTATGAGAATGCTGTAAAAGGATATAACACAACTTTTTAGAAAGTGGTGGTCAGTAGATAATTCTGTGATGTTTGTAAAGAGCCTATGGCATTGTATAATCTCGATTAACTGGTGGGTTTGTTTTGATTGTATACCTGATTTCAGATAGAAAATATTGAGCTTCCCATGGATACAAAAACAAATGAAAGAAGAGGATTCTGTTTTATCACATATACAGATGAAGAGCCAGTAAAGAAACTGTTAGAAAGCAGATACCATCAAATAGGTTCTGGGAAGTGCGAAATCAAAGTTGCACAACCCAAAGAAGTGTACAGGCAGCAGCAGCAGCAACAGAAAGGTGGCAGAGGGGCTGCAGCTGGTGGAAGAGGTGGTGCTAGGGGACGCGGAAGAGGTGAGACTGCATTCTGGGGATGATGAGTGTTAGACTGAAGCAGTAGGTAAATGACCCAGAAGGAAACCCAGCTAGACTGAACCTCTAAAGCTGACTTGGGGAGGTCTTTAAACGAGCGTAGGGGACAGGAGTGGGCCAGCTTGTGGTAGGACTGGGACAGTCCCAATTGTTTCCTAACCATCGTTGTGCATTGTTTCAGGTCAGGGCCAAAACTGGAACCAAGGATTTAATAACTATTATGATCAAGGATATGGAAATTATAATAGTGCCTATGGTGGTGATCAGAACTATAGTGGCTATGGCGGCTATGATTATACTGGGTATAACTATGGGAACTATGGATATGGACAGGGATATGCAGACTACAGCGGTAAGAATACTTAACTCAATTGTGAAGTACTTTCCCATTCTGAACTTGTGTGTATGAGTTTCCTGTTGAGATGTTTTGAGTTAAGTCATGTTGTGTAGTCATAGGAGAATAACAGACAGTGGTGGTTATTTTAAATTATGATTTACAGCTATTGACTATTGCTGACTTACTAAGATGGCTTGATGTTTTAATGTTCAGCATGCGTAGATTTTTTGCTGTGTTTAGAAAAGCAGTTTTTAGGGAACTTTGTTGGTGAAGCTCCTATCCTTTCCACGCAGGTCAGCAGAGCACTTACGGCAAGGCTTCCCGTGGGGGCGGCAATCACCAGAACAATTACCAGCCCTACTAAAGGAGGACGCTGGGAGAGCAGGTGTGTGTGACATACAGGAAGACATTGGCAATCATCATTTAATTTAAAGATCAATAGACAAATGAAAAATATAAGTAAACAATATGTTGTGTAGTCCTTGCTAAGTTGTTAATGTTTAATTGCTTATGAGCCTGTTTTGCCTAAAGTGTCTATAGATCTTTAACTTTAAAGTTTTACCTCACCTTTTTTAGAATTGCAGAAAAACTTAAGAGTTTTTCTGTTTGCTTTGTGTACCAGGAGGTGTAGAGGAATAATTAAACTTTTTTAGAACTATTAACAGGTAAAGTACTGAAATGGGTACAACTTAAGGAAAACAAGAATGTTGTCTTCTAACTCTGACATTATACCTTGTTTGTACCCGCCAGCGGGAACTTCATTGCAGGCCGTGTGTCACCCTGACCACGTCTATCTCTGGGGGTCGCACGTTGCGGGCAGAGCGCAAGGCATACACCAGAAAACGCTGTCCTGTGGTATGGTCTCTTCCAACTTCATGTACCAGCGTAAAGATTAAAGTGGAAAACTTCAGACTTTGGCTTCTTTTTTAATCTTTTTGGAGATTAAGTGTCTAAACTTAACTTAAATGGTTTTTTACAGGAGTTAAAGTACATAAATGCCTTTTTACAGCTTAATCATTTTGGTCTTCTGTTTAGTGTTGTATTTCAATTGTGGAGCCTCATTTTAAGTGTTCATTCTTTAAGATTTAATGCTTGCTTTTTCTTTTTATAGCTAATAGTGAAATCTACAAACCAAAACAAGAACTTGTAAATCTGGGCTATAAGTTAAAGATCACATGCACAACACAATTGTTACTGTGTTACTGTTACAACCTAGATCATATGCACAACGCAATTGTTACTGTTATAAACCTACCTGGAATTGGTAGTAGCATTCCAGTTGGCTTACTAGGGATGCTTCTAGTTGGCCCACACCTACTAGACTCAACAACAGGGAAGATTGCATTCCCGTGTTCTAAATTAAATCTGTTCCATGTCATTTTTGGAACTCCAGTGAGTTTCAATACCCAGGCTATTCTTGCTGATGAATACGCATGTGATCTTTAATTGAAGTGAGGACTTAAAGCAGTTCATGAAAGTGGACCTTTGCAAGCTTGTGGGGACTGCACACATCTAATGGGTGTTTTGTTTTTGTTTTA